CCGTCCGTCCGTGTGTCTGTCTGTCTGTCTGTCTGTCTGTCTGTCTGTCTGTCTGTCGGTCGGTCGGTCGGTCGGTCGGTCGGTCGGTCGGTCGGTCGGTCGGGTCGGTCTCTCTCTCTATCTCTCTCTCTATCTCTCTCTTTATCTCTCTCTCTATCTCTCTCTATCTCTCTCTCTCTCTATCTCTCTTTCTCTATCTCTCTCTCTCTGTCTTCTGTCTCTTTCTCTATTTCTTTCTCTATCTTTCTGTCTATTTATGTGGTTCTCTTTTTATCTCTTTCTCTATATGGCTCTCTTTAGCTTCTTCTCTCTATCTTCTTCTCTCTCTATCTTTCTCTCTATCTCTCTCTTTTTTTCACTATCTCTCTTTGTCTCTATATCTCTCTCTCTCTCTCGTTCTATTTCTCTCTATCTCTCTCTCTATGCCTCTATCTATCTCTATCTCTTTATCTCTCTATATTTCTATCTCTCTTTCTCTTTCTCTATATATCTCTGGGACTAGGCCTAGATTTCTAAATTTTGGAAGAATTTGGAGATCTGGGGAATTCGATGCCTCGGTCTCGAAATTTGCTGAAAAATTTCAATTATCATTTCTTTAAATTTTGAAAATTTAGAATTGATAATTTTCGGAAAATTTAGAGAATGAATATAATTTACTAATATCTTATGGCGAATATAGAATATGCCTTATAATTATTTTATAATTTTATATTGAAAAATCGTGCCTTATCTATTCATGAGGTTTATCGATTATAGGAATTTTCTCATATAGTGCTATGGAGTAGCACTTGCTCACGAAAGGTCAGTATCTATCTGTCTGATCATCGATAGATCGGTCTATCTATCTATTTATCCATTTATCTATCTATCTCTCTATCTATCTATCTTTCTATATAATATAATTTATCGCAACCATATTCGGGTTTTGGGTGCCAATTATTTCGGCCAAGGACTCCATGACGGGCAATTCTTTATGCACAATATAGTTTATCGTGACGTACTCTCAATTTGATGATTGCCGTTGGCTCCTATGCAGCCAGGTTACAGCCGGCGACAAATTACGTATACGGATATTGCATTTCTATATTATTGATGCCTCTCCCAGGCTACGCAAAAGACCTCGTGTCCTGCTTATAATTCTGCCCTCGGCCTTCGGCATAGCACTCTGGATGAAATTTGACGCAACGTGCTGACACTTGAAGCTTGGCTTCACCTTTGGGATTGCTACCGTAAAAGTGAATAATCGCAGGTTACCTCTAATGCCATGAGTCGGAATCAATATATATGATTAGATATCCAAGTATCCGTAACTGATTTTGGCGCCGGGCAATAATTCGATATCAACTTGTCCATAGCTGCACCGCTCCACGAGATCTGGCGCTCTAAATTTCTACAATTTTTCAGACTTGTGCTGTCGTTAGCGGAATACTGCCAAGCTGCATATTCCACTTGAATACCGCTGCTGGAAGCAGCGGGTCAACTCTAGTATTCTATAAAATATTATATTATTGCTTCGGTTTCGGATTGGTGCTCGATGGGTATTGATACGAAATTCATCTTATCGGTTATATTGATAAATTGAGATTATTTATTTTTGAATGGAAGGCGATGAAATTCTTGGAATTAATAAAATATAGGATTTATTCGAATATTTTTATATTATAGTCAATTTTTTATTTCATGGTATTATTCGATAGAATTTAGAAAGTATCGATATTCAATATAAGAAGAATCTTTGGATATTTTTATATTCTGTAAATATTTTTCTTAATAATGAATTTTCGATATTCTATGATATGATAAATTATATTGAAATTTCATTATATTTATTATTTAGTTAAATGGAGTAGGTATCGTAGATATAGCTTGGAATGCGGAAATTTAGATTGTAGTTGGATCCATATCGTATGGCGGGCGAGGGAGAGGAAATCGTGGAATGATAAGGAGGGGTATGGTCGTGGCGGAGAAAAAGACGGAGCGGGGAGGGAAAATATAATTATGAAGAATTTATGAAGAAAATAAATATAAATTACTATTCTTAGAAAATATATAAAATAATATTTCAGACATCGAAATATATTGAGAAATAATTTCTTAAAAAATCTTATTTTATTAGATTATAATCGAATAAGAGATTATTTTAAAGGTCTTTTTCGATAATTAAAATAAATTTTTTTTATATATTCGATGATTTCTCTAGGAGAATATTCTTTATCGATACGATTAGAAGACAAGGTCTCCCGCCACAGCTCAGATTGATTCATTAGTCTCCGTCAGCAGCGTTCTCTCTTTATTCCCTTCCCCCTCGAAGGAGATTGGTATATAATAGACCCGCGCAATATTCTGATATTGGGAATCCGTATCATAATTCTTGAGAATGATTCTATTAAGATATCGTAAATGAAGCTGACCGGTAGGCATAATGATTTCTAGAAATAGATAAAGGAGTCCGAATATGAGATTTAGATAAGAATTAAATAGACCGAATGAATTTTTAGCCAGACCGTTGGAGTCTCGAAGGACCCGCCGTCTCCAATTGATCAAGAATTCGTAGCCAAATTTAATAAATCCGAAGATATCAGAATCCTTTGGGGGGAATATGATTCTCAAGACGAGAGAATTTCGAGATTCTGATCGGGCGATATAGGATGCTATTATATTAATCTGACTAGATTGATTTCTCCAGGGACCAGATCATATTCCATATATTGAAATATTATTGAGATTATGGAGACGATCCACGCTCGTAGATACAATTGAGATTCAAAAAATATGGCATCATTATTATTGATCGAATCGAATTCTTTATAAATTGAGAATATTTATAGAGATCATCTATTTCGAGGGATCGCACGACGATTAATTGAAGCTCCCGAATTTGACGAAATTCGAGAAGGAATTCAGATAATCCTTAAAATATTCTCGATAGGATCTTCTTCGTCTGGAGGCATACGAAAATAATCTCTCCGGGATTATGGTCTCCTGAGCTGGCAAACAGGTTCACGAAAAGGGAAATTAATAGGAGAATTGATAATGATTTATAAGAAGATAGAGGATATCATAGAAGATTCCTGATTGATCCCGAAGGAGCGGGGAGTCGGGGATAAAATCTTGACAGGGGCTGTGCTGGCCCACGGCAATCCGAAATAATAATTAATAATTAAGTCTTCATCTTATTTCCTGGGCTACGATTCCTTCGATAAAATCATCTCTATTCCCCCCCCCAAAAAAAAGGGAATTCTGGCATCATCATGTTAGGCCATAGCGCTAAAATTTCTACGTATGGCAATCCGAGAAATAAGAAGCAGCTCTCCCCCAAAATCCGAGGTCAAGAGCACTTCTTCAGCCGCGAGGACAGCGAGGATCTGCTTACCAAGAAATCTAAATGGAGAATAATTCAGAAATATATTTGATATAGACGCCGAAAGCACGTCGACGTAACGATCCGCTACTTCAAATTTCTTTGAGGAAGAGCGTATGATAACGAGGATATAGAAAGATAGAATTATTCGAAAATTTGAGGTTCATCAATATTTCTTCTCTTTATGCCGATCTCCGATACAGACGACGCTCTGGCGAGCTATTTCGACCGTCTAGAAAAGAGAATAATCCCACAAGAATGACAAATTAATGTTTAGACGAGATCAGAGTCCGATAGACTAGAAAATTAAAATCTTCCCGGAATTTAGAAGGCAAGAAAGATATAACGAAGATTAATTCGGAATATAATTAGAAAATTTCAAGATCCTAGTGAATAGAGCCTGTTCCTTCTATCAGAGCCGTAAACTCATCACTGCAAGATAAATAAATATGCCACAACTCTACTTTTAGATATCTCATATCTCAAATAAATAAATTATATTTCTAATATTAGAGAAGAAATAATCATAACGAATTCATAAAGAATTTCAAATTCGTATCCGACCTCTTCCAAAAATTCTTATCATCGTGCCAGATACGCCCATAACTCGAAAAATAATTTCTAAATATTTAGAAAAATCATATTTCAATCTAAAATACGAGAGATCGGCACGGTGCCGCATTTCTAAAACTAAATAATTCCCTAACAATAATACGAAGAGCGATTTGGTGAGAATATTTTCGGAAACCAATTATATCGTATTTTCTATATTCCGAAAAATCGAGATAAATTTATTTTTGATTTCTTCGGTAGTAAAACTAATTTAGCCGAATCTCTCCGATATCATTTTTATTGTTATTATAAATTCAATATCTCTTAAAAAAAGCAATATGCTCTAATTTCTCAGGGGTATTTCCCCTTCTATAGGCATCATTCTATAAGAAATTGACAGACCAACTAACCAACAAGATTATTCTTTTTTTCTATGCGCACCACACTTCGAAAATCTGACAAGCTTCCGAACATAATATCTTACGAACCCTCGCTTTAGTAAGCTGCGGCGACTCCCTCCCTAATTAAAATCTTTTCGCCCAACTGCCCTGGCCTGGCCTGGCCTGGCCTGGCCTGGCCTAGCCTGGCCTGGCCTCACACGGGACTTGTAGGTATATGGAGCCTGCATGGCCTCTTCTGCAGTTGCAATTTCACTGACCGTGCAGATATCCTTCAGGCATGTCATTTTTGTCAGTGGCCGACAAAATCTCGAACATATTGTCACTTTGTGACAATCATACGGTTTTTCCCTCTGTGGAGCCCGCTGGGAAGGAGCAAATGCCTGGCTTTCAGGATTTGTCCCAGCCTAAAATGCCTAAAATTTGGCGGCTTGGAGTTCATGGATGGCTTCATACCTCTCTGGTGCGGGGTTTTCGGGCCCGCGAGTAAAGGTGCTTGCGAGATGCACGATAAAGAAAATTCCTGCCCTTGTTTCTCAGGGACGATTTCTAATCAAATGTCTTCACCGACCTAAGCTATGTAGTTCAATTGTGGATGGGTGCAGCCACTAGCAGATTTCGATCCTGCACGTTCTTCCATCTCGGTTCGGGCCGTTCAGGAAGCATTGAAGCGGCGCACGAAGCCTGTAGCTATTGCACGCTCCTTAGCCGAGCCATCGCTTCTTTCTTGCATGCAGGAACTTATGACTTGGGTGGCTTTGATGGCTGCGAGGTTTCCGCATCCTATTCCACGGAGATGCAGAACTTCCCATGAGATCCGCACCAGCCCATAAAGCGCCACTGCGAAGATCACTGTGCCGGACAAGAAATGCCACGCGACCTCACGGCCCGAAGTTCCAGCAAAGTATCGAGGACTCTATATGCAGAGTTGCACACATCTACGAATCGCTGCGAATCTACGATGTCCAGGTAGGACGCTCCGCCTGGATACGCTGACACTCCAATACATATGTGCAGCGCAAAGTACCTGCCTTATTCACCTTGCCTGTTCCTTTCAACATTTCCTCAAAACATAGCAAATCTGCTGTGACAGGCAGCCGTATAAACGACACTTGAGAGCGTGAGCCTTCGTACCGTGTCTTGATTGCGTTCCAAACACGTCTGTAAATCGGACCTGACCACTGCCTTGCAACGGTTGCAGGAGTCTAGAGACAGCATTGATTGATTGCTATATGCTGCGCTATCTGCTTCCGAAGCTAAGGAGAATCCTGCAGACCCTTCTCCATTCAAAGTCGCATCCGCACCCAGTAGTCCCTACGCAAATCGGTGCCAACCACACCACATCGCTCGCCCAGAGACTTGAGTGCCTCTACCAGGCCTACAGTACCAGGCTTTTTCACTGAGGCTTACTTCCTGGAACGGGTCACTGAACAGGCTCCATGCCTGGGCCAGCATGTCCCAGTTGAAGTAACCTTGTCTGCAGACCCGCGGTACCGAGGTCTTGGGATTCTTCGGGGGCGATTTGGGCAATTTCGTGTCAAGCACTGCCGGGGCGTGACAGCTTTGCCGGTTTAGACTAAGCCTACTGTTGACTGCATGACTGCACACGGTTGCCCAACCAACGCCGAAATCAGGAGGCAAAGGCTGGAAGCGTTCGACTTGTCATGGACGTCGCATCTCGTGCCAATTCAAGTAGCAAACTGAAAGTTGCAGGTAGTGAGGCCCCGTGCAGCTCTCTCATGGTGGGGCCTAGGAAACTTCTTCACCGTACTCAAGCTGCTGTTCAGTGCCATTGCTGCTATGATGCCAATGGTCACAAGACAAATCGTATGTATGAAAATGACAGAAAGGCAGGATGGGCATCCCCGGAAGAAAACTCCAAGACCAGCAGCCAAACCCTGTACAGACTTGCCGTTGGAAGAGGCTCCGCCGGCTCTACACCGCTGCAAACTTCGTCTCTGATTCTTGGTGTCTTGCACTGCCATGAGGCCGAGCGGTGGGCCGCAGCTGAGAGGAAGCGCCTGGCACTTGCAGCTGTGAAAATAATCTTTCCTGGGTTTTTGCTTTGCTGAGATGCAGCAAGCTCTCAACTCGATCCGACTACGGGAAGCGCAAGTGCCCTCGGAAAAGACAACTATTAACTAGGTGAGTCCCAACCCAACCCTGAAAAGCAGTGTCCTGGCATTCCGCCGGCATGCGCACCAGGAACAGCGCGCGTGGCAAAGCAAAAGCGCCCAACACACCTGATTAGCCCAATCGGCCGGCTACCGGTAACCGTTGCTTGGCTCACGATTCGTTGACGTTTGGGCCTGATAAAAACTGGGATACTCGGGCCAAGCACCTAAAGCTCAACCCGGGAATCAGATGACATTGCCCTGCCGCGCCGAAGTCAGTTTCTCTTCCAGGAATTTGGCTTCTACCACGTCAGACTGAACACTAAGTCTCGCGATCGTTCAAATTTGCTGGGAAATCATGCAGCATCTCGCATCAACAGCCGTAGCGGCGATTGACTCGCCGTGCCAGGCTTGAAGATTAGCTCGCATGAACAGCCCAGCAAAACACCAAGGGATTCCACAACAAGGGCCGCACACATCTCTGGACCCGATGTCGACTGGGAAATGCAAGCCCGCACGCACGGATGGTGCTACCTGAAAACCATCTGAAGACATCCCCCAAACTTCTCGAAAGTTTGCCCAAGTTGAAGCCGTAGACCCAGCCGCAGCATGGGATTGTCGTCTCCCGTGCGAACTGCGTAGCGATACCTTGCAGGCTGGAGGTGTCCCGGCTTAGGTCCGGGGGCCAACAACTGTCTCGACTTCCCGAGCCTCCCACCCACGTTGAACAAAACCTGCTACGTACGATGCCGTCTTCCTGAAGCTGCGCGGGATTCATGTGCCAACACCGCTCTGAGAGGGGCAACTCATCGTGAACTGCAGCTACATGCAGCCAGAGCCACACTAATCCGAAGAGGAAGACGTCCAGCGCCAGCATGTCCTCAGCAGGCCGGCTTAGTGCACTCACCTCGTATCCTTCGAACGAGGTGCAAGCAGCAGAAGCGCCATGATCCTGGCCAACAACAACAACAACAACTACTACTACTACTACTACGACGACTACGATGGAAAGGAGATTTCTTCAGTGAATCCCTCCTTTCCCTGCATATGATCAGTTAGGGCTCGAGCTGGAACTCCCAGCGAGGCGTGAGCCGATCCGGGTCCAGCAGACCTGATAAACAAATATAAATAAATAAATAAATAAGTATATATATATATACCTATATATATATATATATATGTATATACCTATAGATATATACTCTATACATGTACATATTATATATATATATATATATGGCTTCGGCTGCCGGGATCGTGGCGAAAGCTCCGAAGCTTCGAGGGCGTCCAAGGCGTTTTTCCTTCTTCCCCGTCATGCCTTAACCTCCTAAACCCTATAAGCCCTCAGGGTTTATAGGGTTTACAGGGTTTAAGCTTTGCTGCCAGGCATCTGATCGGAATCATGGCTACTGCGCCAGAACCTTCACTTGCACAAACGCAGAAGAACAGCTGCGTAGCGTTCTGTGACCGGCAGAGCCGCAACTCTGAGCTTGTCCCAGGTCCCTTTGTCCAGAATCCAACCTCTGATTTGAAGTCGCACCTGTTACGAAACCTAACCTGTGATTAGGTTTCATACCTGCAAGGAATATTGTGAACTCGGATTGCAGCACCCCCAGGGTCCAACCCTAAAGCGATCGATCTGAAAACCTAGGACCTAGAAACTTCAGCTACCGGCTTTCGATGATATTATGTTCGAAACCCCAAACCCTAAACCCTAAATTATAAACCCCAAACCTTAAATTATAAACCCCAAACCCTAAACTATAAACCCTATAAACCCTCATTCATAAACCCTAAACCCTAAATTATAAGCCCAAAACCCTAAACCCTAACGAGAGCCCTCCGCGGGCCTGTGGCGCTGATCCCGGCTTTGGTGCTCTCGAGGCGCTCCTACGCAGAGGCTATGGTTAACAAGGGTTTAGGGTTTAGGGTTTAGGGCTTAGGATTTAGGGTTTAGGGTTTAGGGCTTCGGGTCTAGGGTTTAGGGTTTAGGGTTTAGGAGGCTACGCCGCTTTCGCCCAGTTTGGCGACAGTGGGGTTTAGGGTTTGGGTTTGTAATTTAGGGCTTATAGGGTAGGGTTTAGGGCTTAGACTTTAGGGCTTAGGGTTCGTAATAAGGTAGGGTTTAGGGCTTAGACTTTAGGGTTTAGCGTTTGTAATTTAGGGCTTATAAAGTAGGGTTTAGGGCTTAGGATTTAGGGTTTGCAATTTAGGGCTTATAAGGTTTGTAACGTATAGGGTTTAGGGTTTAGGGCTTAGAATTTTAGGGTTTAGGGTTTGTAATTTAGGTTTAAGGTTTAGGGGTTTCATGGGAGGTTCTTCCTTGGCCCGGTTTCCCGGTCTGATTGACAAGGAACAGCGCGTGATGTGCGAGGGAGCGGCTTCGTGACACGAAGAGAGCCCAGTCGGATAACGGTCATCTGCTGAGTTCCACATGGGCTCACAATAAATATGGGGGGTTTGGGGTTTAGGGTCTTAGACCTGCCCCAGCACGGAGAATATCCGAAGAATGCGATAGGCAAGTTTAACAGCAAAGAAATGTTCCGTGTCCGTGAACGAACGTCAACATCAAAGCAGGCCTCCTGGTGCCAGGCATGCATGTCCCATCTGAATGATGGTCGCAGAGCATTCGAACAACGAGAAACAACTAAAGCCCTACGCACGGCAGTCATTCCACTGCAGGGGTTGTACGAGTAGGCTCAGCCTACGGGTTTACGACAACACTTCCCGCTTTGCAAGCGCCAAGCGCGAAGTGGCTCCAAGTCATGAACAGCAGGAACCTCTCCTCACCAGCCAGGTCGGTCAGCTTCCTCCCAAGCTCGGAATCGAGTAGGGACTTGGCGTTACCTCAGTTCCAAAAAGGAGCGCGAGCCCATCCTCAGAGTCAACCGGACACGTGCAAATCGTTCTCGCTAGAAACCTCTACTTGAGAGTGAAACGACCTGTTCATCTGACTCCCATGTGCAAGTCAGGGGCCCCAGATCGAATCCACGAACCTGGGTTTTACCGCACATCTCGGGCACACAACCCTTTCATGAATCGGATGTCCGAGCCGAGCTGAAGAAGGATCCAACAACAATGGCATGCAGAAGCTCACATAGTTAGTATATCAAGCCCGGATCCTGCAAAGATAAATCGATGCACCAGGGACCTGACCTCTGATCCATTACTTGACGCTGCGCAGTATCTCCTAAACTCCTAAACTACTCCTGAATGCCTGGCAAAGCCAGTGGTGCAAAACCAACAAGATATCAGCTGCACCACTGCCACTGCGAGCCCCTAGGTGCTGAAGTCAGACAGCCTGAAACTGAAGAACCTCCGAATTAACCCCTAAACCCTAAACCCTAAACACAAGGTTCAAAGCCGTAAGAATCTCCTCAACCTGCCCCCAAGAGACTCATCGATCTGCCCCAGCTCCAGGGCTTCCTCAGAGCCTTTTGCTGAAAGGGGCGGGCTTCCGCCCCGGCGTCCTGCACAAAGCTCGTCTAGGAGCTGTTTTGTGGGCCCTTCTCTCTCGGCCCTTCTTGCCGGAGCTCGTGGCTCTTTTCAGGGATGTCTCTTGCAGACTTGCAGACAGTTGGGCTTAGGTTCCTGGGCTTGGGTCTGGGACCCAGGGCTCAGAAGATCTGAGCTTCTCACCTCACATTGCGACGAACAGCCCCTGCCAGGAGAGATATATCTCCGAACAGTGACAACAAGGATGGAAGTGTGATCACATACAGAAGAATCAACAAGTCTGAGGGCTTGAAGTAGCTACCCTGATCTGACGTGGAATCTTCGCTTCAGCTGAGTATCATTCAGTTCAATAACGTAGAACAGTTTGACCCAACGGTTCGGGATGGTGTAGCATCTGTGACACGATGTCCCTCACTCGCTTCGTTTCTGGTGTTCAACCCGTCCGCCTGGCTACCAAGATGAGCTCATGTAGGGGCCTTAATAATTAGAATGGAGTTTGGCGGTATATTTTACTATAACTACAATAAGGAACCCCCAAAATAGTTTTGGTAATTATTCATGTAGGCCCGGATGTTACCAGAAGTTGCGACTAGGGAGCGGGACTTCGAAGTGACCAGAAGCTCAGGAACCGAATCCTCAATCCTTCCGGCTCGGAGGCTCGAGTTGAATCGACAGCTAATCGACGATGTAAGAGCCATGGCCCGATAGCTAGGTAGTATTACTAGGGGTACCCCTTAAGGGTACCCCTTCTGAACCCTACCGTTGGCTCTCTTAAAAGGGACCTTATTGAGAGGGTCTATATCCCCAAGGCTCCCCCTAATCCTAGCTCTCAATAGCAGCCATGCTAACAAGACCCCTTTAAACTCGAAGATCCGGAGAAGTAAGACCCTTGGCTTTGCGTCCTAGTCGTGGCAACCTGAAACCCAAACACGCAGGCACATCGCCAAACCGAGAGCATGCAGACGCTTCCTCTCAGCGCTTGAGAGGCTTGGTTGGAGCACAGCCTTCCGCGGAGCAAGCTGGAGAGTTCGCACGCAATCGGGGACGATTCAGGTTTCTGAGGCTTTCGGGAGCATATGCACGTAACATCACAGAACCGCTCGAGTGCTTGCATGCTGCTACGACCGACACCTACTTTACATTACATCTCACTACAGTACATCACATTCCGGAAAACAACATAACATTGCACTACACTACATTACGCTACATACATACATGCATGCATGCATACATACATACCGACATACATATTCTGCATATTCATACATCGCTTAACTTATGTAGTTGTTTACGAAGAGATGCAATCACGAAGAGTACTAAACTATTCACAGATGCTTTAAAATTAGACTTTATCACTGCCACCGGTTGTAGTTTGCAGTTGCCCATGCGCGCATTTGGTGATGCGGTGCCTCAGAGGCTAGAAACCCAAGTCCAAGCCACGACCCTCCCGCTGTGAGCTTCAAGACCGTCAAGTCGCAACGCAAGCCCCTCTGAGCCCCCGCCTGCCAGGGACAAAGGATCTGCCCCACAGGGTCAAGGCGGAGGCCGCCAAGGCCAAGGCCAAGGCGACTCCAACATGGCCAGAGCCTAAATCCCGATTCGAAGTGCTCGGTGCTTTCGGGGTTCAGGTTCAGGCGGCAGTGCTGTCGTCGCTGACCCTTGTGTCGATACACGTCCCAGCTTAATCATCGCAAGCGGGGACTTCGAGCCTTCACGGGTTCAGGAGGGCTTTTCTTGAAATCGACAGCCGCCAAGCCTTTTAGCTTTGCATCGCTTCCTGCTCAGAGTTGCGAGCAGTCTTGCACAGTGTCAGGAGCTCTTCAAAATGCGGCTCCATCCGGCTAAGCCTGGATTGCCCTTCAGTTCCTGGGCAGGTTTTTGGTGGTGGGACTTTATGTTTAGCCTGCGGGCTTCAATCCAAGTACACTTGCTGCTAGACATCGGCCAAGCTTCTCCTGATCGACTGGATGGTGCGCGTGAGCTCATTGGCATGGCTGAGCAATATCTCTGGCTGAGACTTTGCAGCCACAGAAAAACCAGCCCAGGCCTCAACATCCACCTCGTCCTCGCCGGTCGTCATAGTTGTCAGCCAGCATTTGATGATTGATTCCAGATTCCGGGCCACCTCAGGGACTCGGGCCGCGATGAGAGACCAGGCAGCACAGGCCATACGTCTCTGATCTCGGAGAACCGACTTTTCCGATTTCGCGAGATGCTGGAGAGCTGTGCCAAGGTTGCAGGAGTCTTCGACCGGGAGATCAATCTCCGCAAAGAGACGATTCCAACAGATTGTGACCCAAATGGCATTGTTGCAAACCTTGCGACACTGGGAAAGCATGCTCTGATACACGGCAGAGTCCAAACAAGTCAAGCGACAACAAAAAAAATAACCTTACTATACCGTGCCTCAGAACCGACTTCTGGCTTTCCTTCCGTATGCCGGGGACCAGTAGCTTTGGCAGTCTCAGCCGAACACTTCGCAGGTGGGCATCCAGCGCTTCCTGAACCAAGGCTTCATGAAAGGGGAACAGTTCCGAGCATAGTGGCCGTGTATAGGCATAGAAAAGCAGCATGCATGTCCGGGTTGCATTGCGGGGTAAGACTCGAGCCGATGCTTGGTGCCATTCCGAAAGGGCTGATGAGTTTAGCATAGCTTCTGCTGAAGCTTTATGGATCACGCAAACAACTCTTCTATTCCAGGGGCAAATTATGATCATTACAGTACCCGTCCCACCCAGACTTCAGCAACACGGGAAGGGCCTCCAAGGCTCAAGGCTGAAAGACCCCGGGCCAAAACACACCACAGCCAGGATCCTGCTCCGACTTGCAGAGGGTGCCCAGCAAGCAATAGGTGCTTTGCAGCACCTCCTTCGGCATCTTGTGCTCTTCCTCCAAGCATTCCACCTTGGGACTTTGAATGCAAAGCATACCTTCCAAGACCTTGAAGCCGTCTAGGGAAGTGCCTATAAAAGCCGGGAGCAGCAAGATCGACGGGAAGGATCTTGTTGCTCCATTTCTATCGGCCGAAGCCCTTCACACGAGAACGCTACGAACCGCACGCGCAGAACCTCCGACCCGAGATCGGTGCATGAAAGCTGCTGCGAGAGCTACGATATCCTTCCAGGGCATGCTGGCTTCGTCGCAGAGGATATTGCCCATTGCCTCCATTCAAAGACGCTCGCAAAGTCTTCGCAATCATCTAAGTCCCAACTGAAGGTAGCAGGAGGAATAATGGTAGTGGTACTGCTCAAAATGGTTGTTGCAGCTGTAGTTGCAGTCGTGATAATAGTGGTCGCTGTAGTTGTTGCAGTTGTAGTTGTAGTCGTATGGTAGTGCTAATGGTAGTGAAATTGGGAGTGGCAGTGAGGTAGTGGTAGTAGTAGCTCGTCGTCGCAGGTAGCGGTAGCGGCAGTGGAAGTGACAGTGGCAGTGGTCGTGGTAGTAGCAAGGAGGGCGGCGGCGGTAGTTTTCCCAAGTGCGTGAGAAGTGGTGGTAGTGGTAGTGGTAG